TTAGAGCGTCAAGAATAACTTTGTGTTACCGGGAAATCTAAGAAATGTAGGTACTTATGCAACTAAAAACTTATTTTTTAATTATTATTATGTGACTAGTATTGTACTGAAGAAAAATTCAGTTGTACCATATGTGGCTGTAAAAAAATACATATACAGGGTTAGTCACGAGAAAATTATTTCTGAAAATTATTTTTACGCAACCCAAAATACGAATACCATGTACCACTTGATACTAACTGAATTTAAAATGAAATGCTTAATTCATGATTGCTTTGAGTTTGGCAATGTCATTTTGACAATTCTGGAAAAGGAGGTTACGCGAGTGTCCATGGTGGTACCGCAGCCAGTTGGAGATCTCCGCTCGCGCCGCTAATAAGTTTGTCAGGGCTTGCTTCGAGTGCCTCTTGATCTTTTGCAACCGATTAATGACGAGAAAATTATTTCTAAAAATTCCTTTTACGATAGATATTTCTATGACGTGTAAAACAGTCTCAGATTTAAAAAAATGGAAAAAATAATTGGTTCGCAGTTTTCCATGAATGACCCTACTACGGGCTGCTACCTGTTTTTATTCTTCTCCGCACTTTGCATCCTACAAAAATTTACAACATGGGCTGGAGAAGCCCACCTACATCCGGCAGATTAGGCAAGTAATTGTGAGTATGAATAGTCGGCCTTCCGAGTGAAATGCCCTTCAATAAACTTTTCAAACTTCCCAAGCTAAAAATTAGTCACGCCATTACGAAGAACCACTACTCAGTGGCGTCGTCATCCTGGTTGTTTCTACTGTTTAACGGTATTCACTGTTTGTATTACTTGTTACTCGTGATGTATTGATTGATTTAAATATTTTAAATAATATTAATTAATAGAGAATATAAATCTGTTATGTGCGTTGTTTTATTCAACAAATTTTATTCCATGAGCCGCTTCAAAAAAAAAAAAAACTGTACGTCACTGTCATCGGCAGTCTAATCTGGATAGTGAGGGGTACTGTACTGACACTTTACCGGTTTGGCTCGAAACCATCATTTTAAGTCTGGCACTTCCTCCAGTAAGAGCATATCCCTTTGCTCCATGGTCAAAACTAATCTTTTTACGATCTTGTTTACAGAAATGACGTAAAAGTGGAGATTGGTGTGTAGGTACTTAGCAAAGGAAACGAGATAAATTATTCATTCTTTGGTATCTACAAGTGCCGTATTAACAGTGTGAGCGTTCAAAAAAGTTCTGAATGAAAAAACATCTTTGGTTTTATCATGGATTAAAGATAATCCAGAACTAATTTGTAGTGAGCAAAAAATTGTCTGCAAAGAATGCAATAAACTCCAAGATTAATTGTTAATATATAAATTCAAATTTCTTTGCACCAAATTTATTAAAAAATATATATATTTAATTTTTTAAAATATCGAACGTAATGAAAATAATACTTTTTCACTTAAAACTGTAACGAGGGTTTTTTTTCACGATTTATCTATAACTTTTTAATTTGACAATTGTAATAATTTTAAAACCATTTTTTATTAAAGAAAAATGACGTCTAACACGTTTTGAAAGCTATTTTTTTCACTCGTTTAATTGACAAACTTTAAATTTGTGAGAAGAAAAGCTTGAATCACTTACTTGAGCGTCTAATCAATAAGACGAATAATCCAAATGAACATTACAGTAGCATACCGACGAGATGTGTCAGCATTAAAAAAAATATTTTACAATATTTTCACTTTTTTGCACTTTGGTTTAGTCGGAACTGAGCCTAATAGTTACTGTTTTTATGGAACTCGTATGTATTTATTTTGACACTTTTTTTTAGAAATAATGAAATTTTTGAGAATATAGCACATTATTTTATTTTCCTCATTCATAACAATTACTTATTTCTCTATAAACGCTATCGTTTTTCGCCTGCGATCAATTGTCGCATGCGACCAGTTGTACTTGCGACGAATTGTGTTGCGATCAATTGTGACTGCGACCAGTTGTCGTTGCGACCAGTTGTCGCTGCGACCAGTTGACGCTGCGATCAGTTGTTTGCAATCAATTGTCGCGCGACGAATTGTGCACGACGAATTGACGCGGTACCGGCCTGTCCAAAGGTACCATACGTGCTGCCATCTATTAATAATTCAAAAACGACAAAAGAATTATTAACACTTTTTGAAAGGCACAAATGCATTCATACCGAAACAAACGACCATTACACGTTTTGAAGTCTCATAATGTCAAATCAAATTAAAATTTTGCTAAATTATTAAGTGTAATTATTAATAAATGGCAACACGTATGGTACCACTTGGAGAGGCCATAATCTTTATACTAGTCGGCCATGGTTTTCAGAAAGCCTCCCAAATCGTCGTCTGCCAAATGTGCGCAGTTTTAAGAACGTTGCAACCTCTTCGTGAGTGCGGATCTTTTAAACGTGCACCTCAGGATCGGGGTAAGTTACGTAGTAATAGAATTGCTAATATTGAAAAGGCTGTTTTGAAGAGTGTCGAAGCTCGACCGGGCGTTAGCACGCACCAGTGTCTAGTGTGATATATCGGAGAGTAGTATTTGGAGGATACTCAGAGAATAAATGTACCCCTTTCAGGACCAGAAAGTTCAGTTATTGAAACTAACAGACTTACCACGTAGGCAAAACTTTTGTCAGTGGGTTAATAGAAAAATAAACGAACAATCAAATTTTGTATCTCTTATACCATCAACTGATGAAGTCGGTTACACGAGCGAAGGTGTAATTAACACCCACATTTGGGCCGATGAAATTCCGTACGCCATTAGGGAGCAGGATTTTCAATTTCTCTCTAAATATTTGTCACGTTATCAAGATTAGGAAAATACGTATCCTAGTTACTTTATTGGACCATAAATTATTATTAATTATAATAATTATTAGTGTCCATGGGTGACTGAGGATCCATGGACGGGTAGGCTTAATTGGGATAAAACTTTAACAATTTTTAACTTGATAATTAAAAAGTTTTTGACAAAATTAAAAAAAGTTGTTGAGTTCAATGAGCTCTATAACTGATTAAAATTAATGTACTTATTTCTGAGACACCCTGTATATAGAATATTTTTTGCTGATGTAATCGGGCAGTTTGTGACTTGTAAGTAAATATGTTTTTGTTTGTCTATACTTCTGTCAAAGTCGTATAAGGATAGCTCGTTTGGTTATGGCGATAGGCTTTGAAACCACGAAGAAAAAGAAGAAGTGTGTCCTTTGTTCAACGAAGTACATTTTGGACGACCTTCAACTGCTAGAAGCACAATTAGTAGAATTGTTGAAAAATTTAATCAAACAGAAGACGTGAGAGATGTAGAAGACCACAAATAAACGATAACACTAAGTTGAATATCTTATTATCATTGGAACACAACTCCCATGTAACAACCACGAAAATGGCTTTACAAGAAAATGTTAACAAGTCGTTTGTGGTAGTTTTGAAAAAAAAAGAGAAACTGCAGCAGAAAAAGATTCTGATAGACGATTGGAATTTTGTGAAAGCTTCATTAGACATTGTGACGGCAATCCCAATTTTTCAAATAGTATCGCATTTTCGGATGAAGCAACATTTCACTTAAATTGTACCGTAAATCGATACAGTTGTCGTTACTGGGCTAGAGAACAACCTCACTGGGTTCAAGCGCCACACACCCAACGTCCCCAAAAAATTAATGTTTGGGTGAGTATAATAAACCGAATATTCATTGGCCCCTGCTTTCTTCAGGGAAATTTAATAGTCGCTCAATATTTAGATCATCTTAAAACCCCAGTGCTTCCGGATCTAATGGCTACGTTTCCTGATCCAGATAATCCACAAAATTTAGATCGCAGGATCCAACAGGAGGGGGCACCACCACATTATGGCAAAAATGTAAGGGTTTTTTGGATAATCAATTTGATGGAAAGGAGATTGGAAGTCGTGGGCAATAGAATCGCCTTCTAAGTCTCCAGATCTGACACCCCTTGATTCTTTTTAATGGGGAGATTTAAAAAGTCGTGTTTACATGAACAGGCCCGATAATTTAGACGACTTGAAAGTACGAATTGGTCATGAAATGACTCGTATAAGTCCCCAGAGTATTGAAAATTCTGTCAATCAGGTCAAACAGTGGATGGGGAACAGTTTGAACAATTTCTATAGCATACATTTTTACTCCAACGTATTATTCGGCATTTAATATTTATCATTAAAATCAAGTTTATTTTGTTTGTTATTAATTTTCTCATATTTTTTTATTATGCAACCCCTACATTGAACTACATTTTTAAAAGCAGAAAAATAAACTTTATAAAATAATGCAATCAAAATTATAGCGTCTAATTTAAAAAAAATCATTGATGATGTCAAACTTTTATAAATTTGACGTAATTTTTTTTTTGAGAAATGTGAAATGATGGAGAGTAAAAATAAAAAGCTTGATATGTTTTTACATTTTTTTCAAAAACAAATGCTTCGCTTTTTATGAATTTTGTGTTTGTATAGAATAAAAGAAAGTAGGGATTAATAGATTATTTTTTTATTGTTGTAGTTTATTAAACTCTGCGTCAGTAAAGAAATATACAAAATTTCCATTGGGAAAAGTTGCTAGTTTGTATGCTTTGTACCGTGAATTCAACATATATCATGTTTCTAAATACGATGCTACAATATTAACACAAAAATCCAATTAAGCACAAAACCGTTCAACCTTATCACTCCTCTGCTAATAAAAACTCGTGGAGTTAACAAATGAAGAGAATCAAATTCATTCGGCAGATTAGCACTTGTACAATATTCATCTGCAACAAATCGCTAAAGTTGAAATCCGTTAAATTATCCAATAAACCGCTTCGTTCAACTCTAATAACTAAAATTAATTAAACTTAGTTAGACAGTCCTCAGCTTGGAATCAATGTGAAACTTCTCATCAAGTTACGCTTAGTCAATATTCCCCGAAACCCCGTCCTTTGAAAGGAAATCTGATAAAAAGGCAATAATTTCACTCACCCTGCGACTATCCGCAATCTGCGGGAAGACAAAATCAGTGGCCGTCAACAGGACCTTATAGGGTCCTTTGGAGACGCGCTTTTTCAGCAGCTGGTTTCTGGCTAAGGCCGCGGTCCCGAGAAGAACCGTAACGAACAAACAGGAGCAGCCCAGAATCCCAAGGACACTCAAGGCTTTGGTCAGTTCGGTTTCGCATCCTTCACATTCGTCTAGCTGTTTGTGTTTGAGGATCCACTCTTCTAAATTGTCCCGGACCTCCGTGACCACAAATTCACTGGAATTGTCCCGGCTCACGCTTAAAAGCGATCCGAAAATATCGTCGTCCTGCAAACCCGACAGCAGGAAAACGGATTGTTCGTCGCGCACAGCACTCAAACTCGCGAAGGATTTTTTGATGTTCTTCAAAACGGCACACTCCAGACTCGCATTGTCTGCGGCGGTGTAAATCAATATGTGCCTTTTGCTGACCGCACTCACCGTGTCCAGAAAATTTGTTGAATTAAATCCGGAAACCTCCGTGCTATTTTTTTGCTGGGTAAAAGCGTATTTCCAAGAGAGTAAATTCGATGTGTCTATAAATATCGTTAATGTGTTGTGATCTTGCGCCAGGTGGAGACTGTCGATTACCTCCAGCACGTTCTTCCCCGTCTCATCGGCAGGTAGACACATCACCACCGCTGGAAAACAATACAAAAATCTCTGTAAGAATGACAGAAAAGGCAATTACGTTCTTTAACGACCATGAGGAAAAACGAACAAGTTGTGACGCTTTGTTCAAATTTACGAAGGGGATAGCTGTGAACAAAATACTGTAAGAAATCCTTTCAGGAATTCGATTGTGATTATCCAACAATAGTAGTAAATACTTGCAATCTAAATCTCCACTCGGGGAATGTACAATGATACAAAGAAAGCAAAATTTATAGTTATTTGTCGCAGTAAAAATATCAATATAGTTTAAATAAATGTTTACAAGGAATGACTCTATACATCTTTTTAAAAACGAAAACACGACATTTCTCTAAAGAATAAATCTTCCTTTTGTTCCAGGTGATTTAGCGTAGATTCGTTACTTGCGCTATCAGTAGCTTATTTTTGGAATTGAATTCCTTTCTTTGTTTTTTACTTTCCAACTGATAACACACACTTTTTAACCCCAATAACTTAAAATAAAGATAGGTATATATTGTCAAACTACAGACAAAGAGACATCCTATACATATTTTTAAGTGGGTTTTCCACAATAAAACTTTGTGTTGACGTCAAGAATTTTTTACTAATAACAACAACTATATTTCCAAAATTTCTGAAAAATGAATTAAATTCTTTTTGATTTATCCAAAATATTTTGCACATTTTAGATACGATTTATGCACCAAAATTTTGAGCCGATATCCTCAAAGGGATAAGCAGATATATTTTGAGTACCAATTAAGCACGTTTACGATAACCTTTAAAAGTTTACAAGATTTGAGAGCATTTGGTTCTCAGTTTCTAATTCAAATTGTGAAATGTTGATATCCAATTTTAATGTTTATTCCAAAAATTTAGATGTCGAAGGTAAAACATGAGGGCAGATTCACAAACTACAGGTATATATGTATTTATAAAATTTAAGTAGGGTTTACTTTCCAAATTATGAGATGACATCATCAAAATATTGGTGGTTATGAATTTTGGTTTGTACTTCACAATCTACACTGTTTCCTGAAATACATATACAATTTCATAATAATCAGTCCAGTTTAGGAAATTATTTTTCTAATACAACTGCCAACAGCGCAGTTTTTATTTTGTTTGTATGTAAAGTAAGTAATTTTTTATTTAATACTTAATGTCCTTTTTACTCCTACAGTATGCATGTGGTCTGTTGTCTGTTGGGGATTTCATTAGACAAATAATTTCCAAAAATACAAGACTGATTGTTGTGAAATTTTGTATGTATATATTAGGAATGGATGGTAAAATGCTAACCAAAGTTTGGCTACTCATCCCCATCAACAACGAGGTGACATCATCTCCAATATTTACAATAACAAATATTAATATTTAAATTTTATGCAAAATCAAATGCTCTAAAATCTTGCTAACATTTTACAGTTATCGTAAGCATAGTAAATCGTTAATCAAACTATATCCGTTTATTCCCTCCCAAAAAAAAGTTGATGACGTCATCTCAAATTTCACCGAATAAATCTGAAATATGTGCAATATTGTATATTATATAATAGTCTACACTCGTGATTTATCAATGCATTATTGCTATTGCCCATTCCATTTTCCCGAAAATTCACACTGCACAGATTCAAATTAATATACGCGTCCTTACTGAAATGTTGATGACACTGTCAAAAAATTTCTATATAGAAAAACTCACTAGAAATATATGCTTACGATGAAAAACTCGTTTGAAACACATGCGTAGCAATTCGCTCCTTTACACTTACTCCAATATTACATAGACACATATCTTTATTTTAACTTATAGAGGTTCCCTTAAAAAAAAATAAAATCCGCAAAATCGAATTTTATCATTTTATAATTTTTCGAAAAAAATGTTTTATTGTACCTCAGAGACAAGACAAGTTTTGTCGAAATTACCTTGGGCCAATTTTTTAGATCCCCTCATGTTGCATGACTCATACAATTTAATCTATAAAGCAATTTATTTTACTGATCAAACTAAGAACGGTTCACCCTATTTTCCCGAAAATTTGGCACTACAAGACCTATCCAAAGTGGTATATGGGTCCTTAATAAAGTCATCACAAAATTTTGTTATGAAAAACTCACTTGAATCATGAGCATGGTATGCTTATTTACGTGTAGTTTAGCAGAAAGTACATAGGTATCTTTATTTGGACTTTTTGGAGTTGTCATAAAAAATAAAATTTCCAAAATCAAATTTCATATATGAGAAATAGTGTGACGACCTAAAGGGTTTCTACTATGCAGAAAGGTCGAACTTCCGCGCTATTTTGGGAAACCTATCAGGCAATCAATGAGCGAAAATAGCTACTTCCTGGACAAAAGCCCTGCCGGACGATGGATTAGACCTACCTAAACTGGTGTTAACATTTTTGACGGATTTTTCTGCGATTCCTTATATGCAAATAATGTTTATACCAGTAGCGTAACTAAAAATATACGCGCCCCTCCGCAAACTTAAATTTCAACCTCTCCCCCACTTTTAATAAGAATAAAAGAATAATTATCGTAATAGTAGCTACTTGTTAGGTGCCCAAAATACATCATAATCAGAACGTTTTCCTCCACTGTGGTTTAATTAGTAATAATTAGTTTTCTCCTGTGTTTTCAGGAGGCAAAATCAATCAAATTTCATTTTCCTTTCACACAAGTGCATTCAAGATCGAAACTAGTTACAATCTACAGCTTTCCAACGGGTTGCTATGGGTGCAAGCACTGTTTCAATCAATTGATAATTTATCTGAAAAACTAGATCAGCTGTTTGATTGTTCAGGGGTGGAGAAAGTTCTGTTCAAATAATCTTAGACGAACTTTTTACCGTATAGAATACAAAAAAACATTAAATAGCGAATTTAATCAGCTTTATATATCCACTCTTTCCCTAAATGTGTTGCATATTATGTAAATAAAGTAATATAACACCATTAGATGCATAGAAGTCGCAACATATTACAGTTTCGTCAGCACGTTGACACATCACCACTAAAAAATAATAAACTGTGTGAAAACGACACCAAACACAATTAAGTTCTTTAACGATATTACGAGGAAAACAACCAAGTCGTGATAAAGGCTATAAAAGGCTTATTCTTTGTGTTGGCTTTCTTAATATCAACTCCAATTTTTCTTAGAAAGCCACATCACCGTGATGGCTTATTCCGAGCTAAACTTTTCACTTTCAAGCCGATAATTAATCTTCACTAAACTAGAAAGAATTTTGAGAGCTACAGATGGTTGAATTGTAACACAGCCAAATTGATACGAAATATGATTTCATTCTCCTTCGAAAGCAGGTGGTTATTTGTCTCCTTTAACGTCTAAATGCTGGCAATGATTCATGGGTTTTACACATTTGAGTGAACTGGGAAGACAAGCGACTACAGTCTATTATAAAAATGAAGGAAAATGGTTTAAAAATATTTAGACAGTAGTTTATTCCCTTCTGAAAAACAAGTAATTAATTTGTAGTAAAGAATGTTTGATAACGTTTGGTAAGAATAAACATGAATTTTAATAACTATTATGTAACATTACTGACGTTACTCTGTCCTAAGAATTATTGAAAAAATAAATGACATTTTAAAAAATTATAGACATAAACCTCGAGATGCCGATATCAAACCCAGAATCTGTTACATTCAGAGCAGATACTTTATTACAATATATTTAATATACAGGGTCGCTAAAATGTATGGAAACGGTTAAATATTTTGAGAACCAATTGTACAAATCAACTGAAATTAGGTAATTAATAATGAATTATTCGTCAAAAAAAATTTTTTGCAATTTGATTTATTTTAAATGGCACTACCATACAAAAAGAAAAGAGCATGTTACAGTATCAATTTCAACCAAGATTTACTTGACAAAGCTTTGAGATGACGTCATCAAATTTTCATATCAGGGATAAACAAAGATACAAAATTTGATGAGCGTTTGACCATATACGAAATCCACAAAGTAGCAGACAGACGTCAGATAGAGAAACGACAGAGAAATGGAAACAGTTGATCGAAATTTTCAGGTTTCACAAGTGAAACATCGAGAAAACATTAAATTAAACATTCCTCAAAGTGACTCTACTATACCACTTTCACAACATATGTTCGAATAATCACAAACGTCAAATTTGCTGAGCGGTGGAAAATTGTAATTCGATTTAAACAAAAATCTCAAATATGTGAAGAGAAAACAATATGACTCTTTGGCGAGTCATTAAAAACAATTTTAATGTAATGTTTAATTTATATGCTAATGTATACAAATACATTCGCATGTAGATGGATTAGGTACATATTTTCAAATAATTATAGTTCTACACATTTTGAAAATTTGATTATATCTAGAGGACAGGAGAGAAAATTAATTAATATTATTGTTTAAGTATATATAAATAAGGCAGCTAAATCAATAAACTAGTGTAACGCAAAAATAGTAAAGACGTTATAAAGTGCAGCGCTACAAAAATGTTCAAACATTGTTCTCAACAGTCCTATTCTGCACTTGTATTTTTGATCATGTTGAAATATTTTTGCATCTTTCTGATTAAATGACATGCTTCCTCTAGCATTATCCGTTAAAACTGTAAACACAAATTAATTTAGGTCTTCTTTGCAAATCCATGAAAAGCTGCTTTTCCCTAAAGCGTCATCTACAGACGAGATTACTAAAATCGATTCACTGTATTTACTAACACTGAAATCTTTTACAACATAACATTGTGCTAACTGCTACGCTACCTAATAAATCCCAAACGAAAATTGGCCTTAAAATTAGCATAAGAAACACATTTATTTAACTTAAAATAAGACAATGTTTTTTGTTGCTCTTTCCTGGTTCTTTCAGAATCGAGTTTGATTAACTTAGAAAATTTGAAATCATTTATAACTGTTTATGACTATCAGATTACGTGTTAATCTGAACATAATCCTAACTAAACTATTAAGTAATTAATCCTATTTAGTAGCGA